AATGTAACTCTTATTTTATAAAAATTTTATAGGTTGAATTAGATTTAAAACTTATTTTTTAAACAGTAAGTATGAATTTGTCTTAAAATGTCTTTATAATTTATAATGTATTTAACAGAATGAATATTGTCCATATTTGTGTTAATCAAATTTATTTTTGAGAGAATGTTTTATCGGTTTTTAATTTTGTTTTAAGAATTTTATTACTTGTTTTAATTATATATCTCTATTATGAAATTTTTATTGGATTTTGATTTAAATATTATAACTTATAAAATTATTAATATTACTTATTTTAAAAAGTAGGTTTACAAATTTATTATTGCTATTAATTTAATTAAATAAAAATACTAAAATCGGAATCTAGTATTTTATATGTTATAAATGAGAAAAAATTATAAAATAAATAATTTATTATGCAAGTTGACCCACAAACTTGCAAACCAAATGTTATATAAAATAGATAAGATATATTTATCCGTCTTTCTTGTATTTACTTTTTTTTTATATCTATAAAAGATGTATTTAATATAAGTATTTGTGAGATGTGTTTTAACTACATAAGTTAAGTATGCTACAGATTTATCAATATTTGGGAAGTCTGGACCCATACAAGTAATTCAGCCTTAATTAATACTTAAACTAGTAATATTAACATGTGGGATATTAATAAGCAATGTAGACGAGTCTTTATTGAGTGTGCGCACATGCTCAACAATATCTATAAAGTTGGAGATTATCTCTTAAATATTTCCTTAGTTTAGATGCAAAGTATTCTGAATGAATTTGTTAATGCCACAAAATTAGTTCTTAAACACCAATTTGATAAATAGTTTATTATAAGGTGATGCCAGCAAGAGAGTGCGTCCAAAATGTCTACACCAGTTAGATTCATGTACTCCAACTTCCTAATACTTTAGTTTTCTCTATTTTGTCGTATGTGAGACTTGTAAATTCATCAACACCATTCTTCAAACGAAATTGAATTCATCTATTTGTTGCCTTGATTGTGACTTCCACATACCATCCTAGTCTCAAGGTTGACAAAATAAATACCACCTTAACCTCATGTCATGTTTTAGTTCTAATTTTTGTTTAAAATTATACTTCAACTAAAGATAAAACCAATTTAAAATATATAAGTGGGTGCAGATTTCATCTTACAAACCAGTTTTATGAGACTTAATTAGATTTAAAGTTCACTTCTTAATATAGTATCAGATTAGAGCTTCCAATTTAGAGTATATAAATAAGTACAAACATTATTTTACAAGTCAATTTTGTAGGATTAAGTTAGGTTTAAAGTCCATTTCTTAACAATTTTTTCAATAAGTTAGGCTTATTCTTACGTTAGATTATCAGTTCCCATGTTTTCAGTGAATAATCTTTTCAGAATGTATTTTCTTGGAAGCTACTAATTCCCCAAAAGTTTAGTTTCAATCATTTTTTTTTATTTATATACTCTCGGATTTTTTTTTCTACTTGACCTGTTGAGTTAAGCATTCTCAAAAACATTTACAAGCACTATGATGCTTTATTAAAGTATCTTAAAGCTTCTCCTGTTCAAGGCATTCTATTTCGCTCTCCACAAAACTCACTGCCTAATAATGTACAAGTTGGCTCTGTAAGAGACTAGGAAACCACCACAAGAATAAGACGTAATATCAAATTTTGTTTTTGTATTACTATGAGACCCCACGTGTTGGATAGAAAGTTGAAGAGAAAGTGAGGGTGGAAAAAAAAGGACAAAACTTACATTTATATAGGTACATTAATTAATGCTGTTTTACGATTCACTTTTATAATATCATTCTATTAATGTCTCATCAATGTATCTAAATAAATTAAGAGAAATCCTAAATATAATTAGAAAATAACATTAACAATTTCTGTTGTATTGATGGTAAGTTATTTTGTAAAAAATTATCGTTAACCATTTAAGTCAGGAAAATTGTTAAGAAAAATATATTAAAGAAAGTAGAAGGTTGTCCAACCCTATTACACTTTACAAAGGAATTCTATTTTTCACAGAAAAAAAAAATTTGACGGAAAACAAATAAATAATAATATAACTCTATCAAGTCATTTCCTATTCCGAGTCAAAATAAATAAATTTTCCTGCCCTTTTTGTTCAGTGTCGGACTCGGAAAAGAAGCCTACTTTCTTCTCTCTCTTTCGTCTTCGTTCCGCCTCCTTTAAACCCTATATATCCTTCACACACAAAACACAACACCATTTATGTACTTTTCCCTCAAAACTATGTCAAATTAATGCTACTGTTTCTCCCATGTTTGTCTCACTTTTCACCTCTCCTTTTGGTAAAGCCAGGAAAATGTTCAGGAAAGATGATGGTGAACAACGGACACTGTCGGATATGAGGTATGCCTGTTTTCTTTCATTCCATTTTCATGGGTGAAATGGAAAACTCTATCGTCAGGCATTATTTCTGGGAATGGAATTACTTTGATCATCATAAAGATGATGCTAGCATTTCCTTGTATATTTGAGGAAATTTCTCCAGCTGATTTAAATTATTGGAATTCTTATAAGCTGATTCACTGCATTTTTTGGGAATCGGTTCATTGTGTTGCTTTTAACTTATATTGTTTAAAACTTACATTATCAACTTCAATTTTCTTCTGTTGTCTATTAATTTTTTATAAATTCCTTCAAATATTTACCATTTTTATTTCTGAGTAAAATCTTAGTATATATGATAATGTTTAATTCAGGAAGCTAGTGTAATATATATCATAATCTTACGGTGTTCAACCCTATCGCCTCATTCCTATTTTCCTTAATATAATGGGACCAGAAGAAGCATGCACAAGAATTGTTTTTAATAGGAAAACAATAAATTTATTGCAGCCAAATTCAGCATGAGTTGAATATATATTGCATCTTGAAAATCTTCCAAAATCATGAGACCAGGATAAGAACAAGACAAAGTGTAGACATTGCATCTTGAACATCTTCCATATCTTGTGAAGTTGTATATCACCCCCACACTGCTGTTGATAAGTACAATGAATAATTGTGATCTATTTTGTTTTTCTGGATACATGTATACACAAATAGTCCTGTTCATGGTGAATTTAGATGAACACCCTTTAATTTTTTCCTATTGCACTGATGTCTTTTATTCAATTTTTATTTAATATCACCTCAATGTGATGTCTTTGCTACTCATTTTTAGTTTCAGACAATTTACATTACAGCCTGTTTGATCTGAGAAAACAGTTTGTTTCAGTCTTCTGTTTTCACAAATAATTAAATATAAAAAAAAACATTTTAAGATTTGTACAAGGTAAACAAGATATTTAGTCCATTATGGACACTAAGGTTGTACTTTGCTATAACTCTGGATAGCCAAATCAAATCATTTTGTGTGAAGTTTGGGGTTTTGTTATTTTATGTTCTTGGAAGTGCAATGAAAGGAATATTGTTGGCAGGTGTTGTATAATTTCATGCTTTACTGGTATTTCTGGCATGTTTAGTTGAAGTGTTTATCAGAAATGATTAATCTCAAATGTGTATTATTCTGTAACAAGATTTTAATTTCTTCAAGTAGCTTAGGACTGTCAAGTTTCCTATATATATGTTACATTTGATGTTTTCAATGAATTTGAGCTCTTTTCTTTATATTTGTTGCCTTTTAATTATACTTTTGTTGTTGCCCATATATTGAAAAGCTTTTCTGTTTACTGTGGTTTTAAAATCCTCACTTTCTTGGACTTACAACAGATGAAGACGTATTTGAAAAAAGCCAGATGTGAGATATGCAACAAATCATTGGTAAATTACTCAACTATCTGATTAAAATCTTATCATATGTGAGGTTCCTGTGGTTTTATATGAGGTAATATGTTATATATTTAGGAAGAACCTTTATCTAAGATGTTAAACTTATGTCAAGATAAGTTTGATGAGGAATAAAAATTTTCTGAAGAGGTCTTTTTTATTTTGTTGGATTATGGATATCTTGTAAAACTGATATGTTGGACATGGTTTTCAGATTTGTGTCACTCCTACAGATTGTATTAGGTAACATCTTTGATTTTCTTTTAGCATGGATATTCTTGTCTACTGCTGAATAAATCTTCTGGACTATAAAAGCAATCCAAGACTATGTTGGTATAAGCATTTAGCGAGTAATGTAATAAACTTTTAGAGTTGCTATACGTATGGCCCCTAGATATATCTAAAGTTATAGTGAAATTGATCTTTGAATCAATTCAAAAACTGAATGAGTTTAATCATACTACATAAGAGAGGGAAAGTAAAATTTCTCGGTACCAAAACTCAGAATATTTTAGGATATCGTAGAATTTCTCATAAAGTTCTTCCATATAGCATAACTTGAGAACTTTTATTTGAAAATATTGCTAAAATTGTGAAGCTGGAATGTCAAGAAAATGAACCTGTAATGGATGATGATGGACAATGGTTGGTGCAAGAATGGATTCATAGCAGTTCAACTTGAAACCTAGATGCACATGTAACCGCATATACTCGTTCGGGAGAGAGGATATTGATTCAGGTTCATCTAAAGAGAGTACAATAGATACACAGGTCATGCTGGAAATTGATGTTGTGAAAAGGGAAAATACAGTCACAGGTTTAGTCGAAGAAGCTAGGGCTTTCACTTTGATCTGATATGCTTAAAAGATGCTCTAAATATTCAACTCCCAGATCCTCTAACACGAGCAAAGATGGTGTTGGATCCTCTGATGGGTGTTTCCCTTTACACTTTTTAGCTTGAGATGACACTTTTCTTAGGATGCAGTGCCTCTCCTTGAGTGCAAGAGCAGGAGAAGAACCAGAGAAGCAGGTGTATTGGATCTCTTGCAAAGATTCTTTGACCCTTTTGACTGGAAAATTGAGCACAGCATTGTGGCCTCTCATGGAGAATGCAGCTTGGTCATAAGCCAAAGCAGCAGCTTCTGCACTCTCAAAGGTTCCAAGCCAAACCCTTGTTCCATTCCTTGTTGTGTCTCTTATCTCTGCTGCATATTTTCCCCATGGTCTCTTCCTCACACCTTTGTACGACCTCTCCTTCTTCTTCAGTTCTTCTTCTGTCTTGAGCATCAACTGGTTGTGATTTACTTGTGGTGGTGCAGTGGAGAAATCAACCATATCGAAGGAAAGTGAATCGTGAATAGGATCAAGAACAGCATTTCTTGGCAATGAATTGAACAAAATTTCTGAGGGCTCCTGCGACATGTCCCAGTCTTGGTTCTGGATGAAAGGAGAAGTCATAGTAGCCAATTGTTTTCTGTGATTCCAATCTCCCTTTTCTGGGTTTAATTTATTCCCCTCAACCCAGGTCATACATTATTATTCAAATATTAATTTCTGTTATCTAATGTTGAGGTCCAGCTATAGATTATTAAGTAGTGTTTTATCTGATGTAATTGTAAGATAAAATATTAATCAAGTTATTTCATTTTTTATTTGCGTTAGATGAAGTTTATTTTTATTGTTTTAACATAATTTATTAAGTTATTCATCTTATCAAATAATATAAAATTTATATTTCTATTTTTAAAATAATAATAGAAAACTTGTAAATCTTGTTTATCATCATGATTTTCAGATTATAGTTTTACTGTTACTTTATTTTCAATTATTAATTTAATGTTGTAGTTATGTTATTATTTTTTTTATTATATAATAATTTATTTTATTTTTAATAAAATAATTATTTTTTATTGAGAACGGTAACTATATTAAATTATAACGAGTAATTAATTGTTATACAAATATTATTTGAAATTTAATTTATATTAAATATTCAAATATAGATTAAAAAATATAAATTTATAATTATTTAATGTTAAGGTTTGATTTAATAACTATTCATGTTTTTATTCATCATTTTACAGCTTTTAACTAGTTTTATAAAATACTTTTAGCCTAAATTTCAACTTTAAATTCAACTTTTTCACTTATCTTTTGACTAATTTTACCAAAGATAATGGTTAAATTTTGTTTAATTCATAAGATGAAACAATATACATTCTGTCCAAAAATTGTTTTGGTTTACATTGTGTACTATTAAAAAAAATCAGTTGAATTTGAAGGGTTGGTAAAAGAAGTGTCATCACCTTGTTTGATTTGCAAAGTAAAAGGAGGAAATATTATATTTTCTTTGAATATGCTAAAAGACATCTTCTAGCTTAAAGTTTAAATGATGTCTCGGAGTAAAGGGCACAATAATTTCATGATTTTAACATTTTTTAAAAGAAATATGTCATTGGTGTGAAGAATTTATTAATCCTTCATTTTGGTGTTTGAAGATATAAAGACAAAAAAATAATATAAAATATTTATAATGCATTAAGAAAAGACGCATATATATGCCAAAAAATTGTCATCATACCTAATACTCAGCGACTTGACCAAAATCAATGATGAAAAATAATTGGTAGACAAATAATTGTATTCTATAGACATATATATGGTGTAAAGGAATAAAGAGTGAAGAGAGAAAATAATATTTTTCTATTAGAAAATGAATGTGCTAAAAATCTATATATACTAATAGAAATTCCAACCATTAGTGATATTTTTATCTAATAAATATCAAATGCATGTTATATATTTTTAACAAACACATTTATTTGATACTTTTTTTATTATAATTAAGATAATATAAAGATTTAAAATATATATAGCATCTTTTCCGGGTGGTGTATAGTTTGTTTTACAAATTTGGATTTTTTTTCTTTTAAATTTTAATGTTTTGTTGTTGTTGTATCTTTAAAATATAATAATTTAGATATATTAAACAAATTAATATATTCTAAAATATTAACATTAGTGTATTTTAAAAAAATAACAAAGAACAATATGAAAAATATAACATAAAATCCGAAATCATATTTTCTGATGTGTTGAATAATTTTATTTTATATTTTTAATTTTAAATAAGATAGGAGCTGGTTGAAATCTAAGAATTGAAAGAACAATATTTTTGCTTGTCAATTTATTCTCCCGACAAGGTAGATCAGATATCCTCTTAATTTCAACCCTTTTTTTTTGGCAAATTAGAAATAAAAGAATTCAAAATGAAATGGACCAGACAACTTTTTGTGGCTTCCTATTTGTAGTATAAATTATGTTAATTATAAATTTTTTGGCTTCATAACTTTATTAAATTTTATAAAAATAATAATTTAAAAATTATAAAGAAAACGCGTATTAAACTCTAAAACTTTTTGTATTTTTCTTGCATGTTTTAAAATATTTCCTGATAAAATTTAAGGACACAGAGAAGAGAGTAAAGAATAGTAATATAATTTTTAAAATAGGATATTCAATTATTTTATTATTAAAATATTGAATTATAACTAGTTTTTTAATAATTAATTTTATAAAAACTCTTTATTTCTTTAAAATTACCTTTAGAATTTTTTTCTTCTTCGCTTTAAGTTTCTAACTCACTGTGTTCGATGATTAGGTACATTAGTGGAATAACAAAAAAAAAACTATATATTTCTATCCAATAATAAGTTCATTTGTTATATTTTTAGAGGTATTTTTGTGTTTTGAGGTGTAAATGGCTATAAAGAATGCATGTATGTCGAAATTTGTTTAAAGTGAATATTTGTTTAATTGTAATCATTATAATATGATAAATTCTTTGAATTAATGGTTGTGTAAGTAGTTAGAGTATTTTGTGAGTTTTAGAGATCTAATAATAAATTTGAGTCAAGATGGTCTTATATATCAAGAAAGGGAAGTTATAGTTTAAATTTTAAACATTTATGTTACATGATGAGATTGAATTGTGTGATTGTGAAATATAGGATGGTTCATTTGGCTGAAATATGTTTTGAATTGGTGTTTCTATATATAAATAATTGTATTGATTATGGTATGTATTTTAAGTTCTCTTTTTGCAATAATTTTTATTTTGACTAGTTGTGTAATCTGATTAAATCTGTTTGAGACATTGATAGAATTGTAATGTGTGTTTGTAACTAAAATATGATTGGAATGTCTAGATAAATTGGTTGGAACACTATTATCATATATGGTTTTGTAAAATTATGCAAACTCGTTGAACGAGTATATGGCTTACTAACTGAAAATGCATAATTTGCATTCTAAAGAGCTCCAAAACTTTTACTCGTTGGACAAATTACCACTTGTTGGACGAGTTTTTCAAAATCAATGCGAGAAGTATATTTGCTAAGCAAGTAAAAGAGTGGTTGAGTGAAAATAAAAATAGCAAAAATTTAATAGTGAGGTGTGTGCTTGATTTGCTGAGCAAGAGGTTTTTTTCTAGGCAAATGTTAAAGGATTTAGTCCAAGTATTCTCTCACTTGTCAAGTGATAATAAACGATGGGTGAGTTTTACTCTAATGAAGACTCAAAACTCGTCCAACAAGACAACATTCGTTGAAAGAGAATAACTTTTTTGCACTTGTAAATATAATTTTAATTCTTGTATTTTATGGCATGGTTTAGTATAAATTATGTGGAATGTGGATGTAGTGATTCCTAGTATAGGAATACGACTGCGTGGTGGTGTGTGAAGTGTATTAACAACAAAAAATCATAATGAAATCATCCTAATTTTGTTAGTATTGGACTAACATAGAGGGAGATAACTAGTTAAGAGTCGAAGAATGTTTATATTTAGAGATTTAGTAAGACATCAAACTCACATATAAAGAGTTTATTTTGTTATACTATATGGATCGAGTTGTTGTCTGAACTTAATATAGTTATAGTTCTTGAGAGTCAGAAGTAAATGAATGATGATAAGTGTATGATCTCATATTATACTCACTACATTGTCCTTTAGAGATTGAGTCAATATCTATTTGTGTATGAAAATTATGAGGATCTTTATGTGAAATACTCTTTAGACATTTGATGATTAAGTGTGATATGTAAATTGTTAACAAATGTATCGTCTTTATAATTAGAATTTAAAAGTAATGATATGATTTAAATTTTCTTTAGCTTATCCTATGTGTTCTTTATTTTGGTTGTTGTGGTCGAGTATGTGCAAATGTCTAGTGTTTTGCATAAGTAAATATTGTTACATTTTGTATAGAATAGTTTTGTTTTGTTTTTGAAATACTATTTTAAAAATTCTTGAACCTTAGATAATATATCTAATTTTGATACGTTTGTTTAATACTTGATAATTTAGACAATGGACATAACTCATTCTTCAAGTAATCTAATTTGTTTTTATTGTTTTGTGAGTAATCATTACAGCAGTCAAAATAATTTGAGAAACACAAGTGTGTGTATATATATATATATATATATATATGACATAGTGAGATTCTAGTAAGCTTTAAGTATAAGTTTAATATTGAGGTAAGGTACTTTTGAATGATTGATTTTTCATTGACCTTTCTAAGAAACACATCTAACTTGAACGTTAGAGTATTTTTTGCATATAAACCATTTCAGCACTAATTAGTGAAAGAAATTGAGAGAGAAGTGTGCAAACATGTATGATTGATTGGAGCATCGAACTAAGCATCGACCCTATCCGACGAAAACAATATATATATTAGGTGTGAATTCATTTTGATTTAACATTCACTTCACAATTCCATTAAAAGTGTTGGGTATCTAAGTGTGAGTCCAAGTCCCACATTGGATAGAAATGAGAAAGTAGAACAATATATAAAGATGAAATACCCATTAACTCATTGCCTTAAGGTTTTAGGTAGAAAGTGGTGTCGATTCATTATATAGTTGCCTCCAATGTTATCGGTGTTTGTGTAATCCACATGGAACCTCCTCGACGATAGGCCCAACAATGATAATTGATGGTTTTGAACTGAGAAATAAAGTTCAAATAAAAAAAGTAGCATAGAAACAATGTGCACAATTTTTCTATTCGACAATATTGAATCATTTATATTTTTTTTAAGATTATGGTGGATTTAGGATGATAACGGGATAGAGTAGATATATGTTTGATTGTATTTGTATTTCACATAAAAATTCATAATCATGTCCTCATTTTTATTGATATAGTATTTGTGTCTTAGCATTTTGATATACAAAGAATACACATTTTTTTTTCAATATCAAATTTGAAAAAAAAAATTATAATTACGTAAATGTCAAATAACAAAACAATTATACATAGTTGAAATAATATAACTTAATAAAAATAATATAATTTAATAAAACCAAGGTTTATGTTTCCTGCAATATAATTTATCATTTGAACAAAAACACATCGAAAAAGAGAATAAAAAAATATACAGTAAGAAAAAATAAAACTAAATAAATAACCAAAATAAAATAAAAATATATTTTTTAAGTTAGAACATAATAC